GGGGGGGGCTTCTCCCTTCTTCAGGAGTCACCACAGCAAACTAAGTTGCACAAAAACTTGGCAGTTATTTTTATTTACACCGGATGTCCTTCCTGACGCAACTACAGACCATGGAGCTACCACAGCCCTCTGTATGGAGCAGAGAGCTACTATCTAGGGTGCTCGGGGAGGAGATGGTGGGGGTCAAGGGCCTTGCTCAAGGGCCCAGACTGGGGCAAATGAGGGTGGAGACAGGTGTGGGCATTTCACCTTTCCCACCCATATTTTGAAGTTGTCGGTTGTTTATATGCTGTATGTTGTTAATAAAAACATCTAAAAAACCCCCCAAAAAAACTGGGAGCGCTAGCTCTGCAGCCCACACATCAGACCAGCCCACCAGGAAATCCCCAGACCCTCCTGCAGCCATGCTGGACTTGAGTTTAATAAAGTTTTTATTTATTATTTATTTATTTATTTATTTATTTAAACAGCTCTCATTTACCATTTTAAAATACTCCCATACTGTGGACATGTTGACACATCTTGACATATTACAACTGTTGAATGAATGAAGATGATGCAAAACTTATAGACCATGGGTCAACAACAGACTGGCAGTGAAGGATGGTGAGCTTCTCAGATACTGATCAATGAAAAATGTTGTGGTTAGGACTTGATCCAGTTGTTTAAATTAATTTGAAACATTGAGTTTGGGATTTTTTTTTTTCAACTGTTGTAAACATATCAGTCAGTGAGAAACATTGAAAGGCTGTGCATTCATCTGTCATGCACATATACACAACTCCTCCACTGTGACACGCGTGTGTGTGTGTGTGTGTGTGTGTCTTTCCTCAGTGGGTTGCTACCATCCGCCAGTGTTTTCTGTGTTTAAGTTGACACAGCTGGTGGGCAGGATGCCAGAGTCAGACCTCTGTGTCTGTAATTCTTCCTGAACACAGCGACCTTCCTTTGATATAAATAGAATGTGAGTGTGGGTGTGCAGGGGTGGAAAGTAGCTATAGTTACATTTACTCATGTTATTTGAATTGTATGTATTTTGTACTTTAAAAAAATATTTATCACAATCTATACTTTTACTTGAGTATGTTTTATGTTAAGTATGTTACTTAGGTGGCACGGTGGTGCAGTTGATAGAGCTGCTGCCTCTCAGCGAGAAGGTCGCCAGATCGAATCCCGGCTGGGGGTCTTTCTAGGTGGAGTTTGCATGTTCTCTCTGTGCATACTTGGGTTTTCTCTGGGTCCTCCAGTTTCCTCTCACAGACCAAAAACATGCATGTTAGACTGATTAGTAACTCTAAATTGTCTCTAGGTGTGAGTGAGAGAGTGAGTGGTTCTCATTTGTCTCTATGTGTCCCTGTGATGGACTTGTCCAGGGTGTCCCCTGCCTCTTGCACTGTGATAGCTGGACATGGGCACCAGTGACCTTAAAACGAAGAAGTGGGTAAAGACAATGGAAGGATGGATGGATGGATGAATGGATGGATGGATGGATAGATAGACGGATATGTTACTTAGTTACTTAGAAATCCCACTAGTGACTGAGTAAAAAATGGGAATGTAAATATGTGAAATAAAATCTGGAGGAGAACAAATGCACACTGTAAACCTGCAGTGACTGGATATGTTCCTTTCCAGTCAGCTGGTGTATGATATGTCTAGAAGTGATGATGATGTGTAGTAAAAGAGGAGTTTGACTCTAATTTAACCCGTAGAGATTGTGTATAAGTGATAGTGGCGTTCCACTTTGTCTGCCAGAGTGGAGTGAAAGTCAGCAGACATGCACCTGTCAGCTCATCACCTGTTAACTGGCGGGCCTCTCCTCAGGTCCAAGTAAAGATGAAATAAACTCCTGGTCATGTTTAAGACACTCTGCCTTCAAGCTGCTGTTAGTTGTGTTAGCTCAGAAAGACTGAGCTGCTGCTTCATATCTACCTGCACAGCCTACTGTGGTGGCGAGTTTAAAATATACTAAATCATTTCATCCTGATGCATGCTCAATAATCCAGGTAGAAAAATCCAAAAAAGTTAAATCTGGTCCTCTGGACATTCAAAAAAAAACCCAAAACAAAGCAAAACAACAAAAAATGTAGAAACGTTTCGTCTCTCGTCCGAGAGACTTTCTCAGTCTGAGGTGCTGTATTCAGCTCAGTCTCTTAAATAGCACCTTCTCAGAGTGGATCAACCAGTTTTGCTGCTGACAACCAAAACCAGCTGATCACATGCTCAAGAAGGACCATCAGCATAACAATGGATCATTAGCACACTGATGGCTGTTTACTATTCACAGAGGGCTGAGTGATACTAGCAATCACAGCATTGTAAGAGGGGGACAATTGAACACGTAGGCCTCCACCCCTGTTTAACGATGGACGGTTTCGTGCGCGTAATATACATAAGATAAACTGGTGTGGAAAGTGGCAGGCAATATGCATTTTTTAAATGATAAATGGACTGTACTTATATAGCATTTTTCTATCTAATCAAAGTACTCAAAGCTCTTTACAACACAATCTGTGTCCTGATTTACCCATTCATACAGCACTCTACTAGATCTCTACAAAAAATAATCAGTGCTGTATCACATTCATACACTGATGGGACACACATCAGAGGCAATGAGGGGTTCAGTGTCTTGCCCAGGGAAACTTCAGTGTATGACTGCTGGTGGAATCGAACCCCCAACTCTTGCATTGGAAGACAACTGCTTTAACCACTCAGCCACAGCCGCCCCGAATGAATGCATTATGAATTAATGAATTCATTTAATGAATTAAATGAATGTTTTTCATTCATCTGAGCTTTTGTTTATCTCATTTTTATTATTTCTACAGACCATGATATGTAAAACCTCAGAGCAGAGCTATTCAACAGCAGACATTTGAACTTGATAGGAGTCGGATAAACACAAGGGTTGCATTCCACTTCTTCAGACAGGTAGTTTATATAAAACTTGTTGACAAGCAATTCTTCAATCTATTGGTATTCATTTGTCAAAAATATATCTGAGCTTTCTTTATTATTTTACGTCAAAATTTGCACCATGTAATAGAACTTTTGAAAAACATACATTTTTTTGTTTACTTTTATAAGTTTATTTATTTGAGAATATGCACAGAAATACACAATAATTCACACTCAGTGCACTTCCAAACTAGGCCGTGTGCCAGGTTTACCCAGTGGATAGTTTAAACTCGCAGTCCCTGTGCAGGTAACACATCAAAACCAAACACAGAATCAGTGTAGACTCAGATGCTACAAAATGCATACAAATCAATACACATCAGTACTGCTAATTTACACATAACTGTACATTGTCCTAAAATAGTTAATGTGCTTAAAAAGTTATTCCACTCTTCTGCTCACTAAGTGTTTCATCTCTACAGCTCAAGCTGAGAATTCTAACTAATATCTTATGAAAACTCATTAGACTCTTTAAGCAAGCTCAAAAAACAAACTTAACTTTCCAAATTATTTTAAATACATTCAGCGTTTTTCATTAGAGGTAATATTATTAGTTCATATCTTAGATCTTTACTGTTTTTCTTTTACATTTTATACTTTTGTTGGATGTAACTGGGACCTTGTGTACATAATTTCGTTCCGTTTTGTGTATGACAAACAAATGATCTCTGACTCTGACTATAATGACTTCTCTGCTCTTCTAGCAGACTTGTCTGTTAGGAGAGCACTTAGCAGAAAGCGTTGTGGTGTTTGAAAGCTCTTTAGAGTTCATCTATCGATGTCAAACTGTTTTTCTTTTCTGTATTCTCTCTCTGGTCATTCGCCCAGTGCTTCAGTGACGCGACTTTAAAGCTCTTTAGGGAAATGGGAAGTTGTATGTAATGCATCTCTTCTCCTTGTTTTGACTTTATTCCTCATCTCTAATGCATAAAATTACTGCGCACACACACACACATATGCACACACGCACACTAAGCAGTCTTTATCTTTAAAGTTTCCTGTAGCAAAATATAAATGGGTGTTTGGTATATAAAGATGGCATTCAGTGTGAGACTTCTTTCTGACGGAGGCAAATTTTAAAACCATGTTTCAAGAGTTGGAGATGATTTGCAGTGTTTTTGTCTTTTCTCCCTGCAGACGAGTATAAAAGAGGGGCTGCTGCTGAAACAGACGAGTTCTTTCCAAAGGTGGAAAAAGCGCTACTTCAAACTGAGAGGCCGAACTCTCTACTATGCCAAAGATGCCAAGGTAGCTTCTCTTACATTTTCACAGTAGAACACACACATATGAGATCAGTTCAGTGAAACCAAGGTCTTCTGTCTGTACAGTGATCAGGTTACACTAAGCTAAACACTAAGCTGCTTTTAAATCTTAACGTCAGTTTTGTCACTTAACTCTACAAACAAATGTTGGTAAACTTTAGTTTTTCCAAAACAGAGTGTGAAAATAAAAAGTTTAATATTATTTCAATTTACTCACAATGGACAAAGCTATATGAGATGTATGAGATTCTGACAATATGATAAACTGGAAAATAACTGTTTCACAGTATTATGGTGTTGCAAAGAAAAAAATGTATCATATGATTTATTTTATTTCAATAATAAAAGAGAGATAACTGCATAAATGTCACATTACTTTTGCATTTTGACAGCGTTTTCCTGCACATTAGACGAGATTTAAATCAGTTTGTGATTAACTTTTTATTTTTGGATGGATGGATGGACAACTATGGTGATATTTAAGATCAAGGCTAAATTTATAATGCATCAGCTATCTTTATGTGATATTTATTTAAAAATCCAAAGTATTGAGAATAAAATTTAAAGTTTTTATTTAAGTTAAAACACCAGAGTCAGCAGGTCTTTTATTGTCCCATGTCACAGAGTGAACAGGGGAGTTGGAAAATATCCTTCATCTGTCTATCCATGCACGTTGTGAGCATGATAGCTTAAAAAAACAAGTGAAGTATCGACTTTCATTTTGGTTTGGTGTAAGAAAAAATTTCCTTTTGAAAATTGGGTTGTCATGTCCGAATCCAAGATGGCTGCTGTCATTAATTTTGGTTCCTGTTGTGAGCGAGATAAATTAAGTGAGGTGCCAACTTCCTTTCTGATGTGTGGCAACATATAGGAAAAAGAAAGGTTCTTTTGAAAATTGTGTTGCTACATCAAAAAACAAGATGGCTGCCACCATAAATGTCTGTCTGTTTTGTGAACTGGTTAACATGAAAATTATATGATGCACTGACTTCCATTTTGGTGTATGGCTACATCTAGATTTAAGATAGGTCACCATTGGGTTGGTTTGCAGCATCAAAATCCATGATGGCTGCTGCCATATATGTAAACCTTTTGAGCTGAATAACTTGACAAATTATCAATGTGCCGACTTCTATTTTGGTTTGTAGCTGCATCTAGACTTAAGGATGGTCACTATTGAAAATTAATTCAACCTTTATTTAGACAGATTAACCCCATTGAACCTCAGGGCCTCATTTACAAGAGAGACCTGAAAAATTGAGTTGCCACGTCAAAATCCAAGATGGCTACTGCCATTTATGTAAACATTGTGAGCTGGATAACTTGACAAATTTGCAATGTGCCGATTTATATTTTGGTTTGTAGCTGCATCTAGACTTAAGGACGGTTACTATTGAAAACTGGGTTGCCACGTCAAAATCCAAGATGGCCACCGCCATATATATATATGTAAACTGACCATCCCTATCATTTGAGGAAACTATGCTTTTAGTTTATATATTGCTTAAATTTATAGTTTTCTTAAATAATTTGGGGGGATGAAAATTAATCTGTGGTGGCCAAGGGCACCATTGAGCCCCCCTTACATCCACCATTGCGCCTGGCTGTGGATAAAATCGCTTCCTCCAAGCCAATAAAACCCCTGCCTCTGGTCTTGTACACAGTGTTACTCATACCCACATATTATTTTGAGAGACCAGTTTTGCTTTTCTAGCACAGAAGCTATAACTGACTGCTATCCACCAGATAAAATGCACAATGAGCCAGTGCATGTTTATTTAATTTTTAATTTTTACAGGCATAAAGGTTTGGGGGAATTACCCCCAGAGCTACCATACACTGACTGATGGATCAGAGCAACCAGTAGATGGGGGCTTATTAAAAGGTTGTTAAATCTTAGACACAGTATGATGGAAAATGTTTGTGGTTTCGACACCACAACTCTGTGGGAAACCTTGGAACTGATGAGCCATGTTTAACTATGATTCACACTTTTTATTTGATCCATCAACTTTTTTGTTACACTTTTTTTTACATCATTAATCAAACAACTTTTTTGTTTGTTTACTTATTTTTTATTTATACCATACCATTTTATTTATAGAGCACTTAAAACAGCGACAAGGCCAACCAAAGTGCTGTACAGACAGAACAACAGGCAACAGGTTATGTTTTGTTGTTGTTGTTGTTGTTGGGAGGGTCATACTGATATATCATCAGTCTGGACTTTGTCATTTAATTTTTTTTGGTCACTTTTGCACTTGAAGAGTTATTTACTTTATTGCTTTTTGTTCAGCTAATAAAGGCTGCAGTAGCTCAGTGGTTTTATAACCCTAAAGCTGCAGGTTTGAGGCCAGGTTGGGTTGGGACTGGCATTGCATTCTTTGTAAAACAACTACCAAATCTTTCACGAGCTTGCTCGCTTTGGTGACCAGTGCAAAAGAGACAGCTGTAAGAAAACAAACAATAACTAAAACTAATAAACATTAATATTGCAAATAGGCATGGGCCCATGACCAGTTCCAAGGTATAATATGACATCAAAACCATTACATTTTTCTGTCATACCATTTCAATGGTTCAAAAAACTTAATGTGACTAGGCCTGTCATGATAACAAATTTTGCTGGGCGATTAATTGTCTCAGAAATTATTGCAATAAACGATAATATTGTTTGAAATTGGACAATAATTTGTAATTATTGTCAAATTTAAGAAGAAATTATGGTAATTTGTTTTGTGTGTGGTACCTTTTTTAACCACTGGATGGCAGTATAAGACTGTTTGAACCAAAGTATGGATAGTGAGGGAGTGAGCAGCGTGTCTCTTTAAGAAAAATGGGAGGGGGGCCCCTTGACCTGACATGGGCTGTCTCTCCTTCCTGTTTTTCGTTCTCAAAATGGCGGACGCTCTGTGTGGTTTGAGCTCTTTAGCATAGCATTGGTCACATAAAGCTTTTAATAAATAAATGAAAAATCAGTAAACAAGTTCTCAGCTTCTTTTTGCAGAGAAAAAAAACTTTTTACATGAAGGCACGGGTTTCAACCGTGAATTTTGGAGCTTTGACATGACGGAGGTTTTTTTTCCCCAAGGTCGGCCTGTTAGCTTAGCTTGTAGTTTAGCTTCTCAGCTTAGCTGCTTTTAATGATCCAAAAACGCGATTTTGGATCGTTAAAATGGATTTTAAAGAGAAAGTGTGTGTGTGTGTGTGTGTGTGTGTGTGTCGGGGGGGGGGGGGGGGGGGTGTCAGTGAAGAGCACCGGAGTTGAGCTTTTTTGTCATCCAGTGTCTTCAGTAGAAAGAGAGAGACACAAAGAAACGATAAAGCCGATAAATGAAAACAAGGTCGATAATTTTCATTTATCATGTGATTAATCGATTTATTGAAAGTTTCAGTTTTATTCTCAATACTTTCATCCTTTATCTTAAATATCATCACAAATAAAAATGTAATAAATGAAAAGCTGACCAGAAAAAGATGATACACTGATTTTAAACAGACCAAGTGTCAACATGTTCACTTGTGTTTGCCAAGTCTCTTTATTTATGTCTCCTTATAATTCAGATCTCTCTTGTAAAAGAATCCCTGAGGCTCAGTGGGACTAACCTGTATAAATAAAGGTTGAAGGAATTTATATAAGTGCAATGAAATTAAAATAACAATAAATTAGGGGTGCACCAATTGCAGTTTTCTGGCTGATCGCCGATCCTGACCTACCGATAACTATTTTGGCCGATACCGATTTAGTTTTATAAGCCACACTGTCAGGTGTTATAAGGTCACAATGCACCTTCAATGTTCCAGTTTTATTCTATTGAAAAACATACCCTTGAACAATATTCTAGAAACAATACAAACTTGTTTTAACTGGCCATGAGGTAGTGTTCTGAAATATAAATGAAGTTCAGACAATTGTTTTTAAAACTACAAAATATTGGTAAAATTGGTTTCTCATGTAAGTATCGGCTAATCTCCCAAAATTAAGGAAATCGGGGCCGATTTATTGGTGCACCCCTACTATAAATACATTAGTTTTTTGGCTTCTGTGCTTCTTTGTGACTTTTTAATTATTATTATTTTTTGACCTTTTGGTTCAATTTTGTATTAATACAGCCGCTTGTCTCCACCTCACCAGCGGTTCATTATCCTGACATCACTTCAGAAGTGTCGGTCCTTCTCGTGCTCCCATGTGTTTTTCCCTCCTGAGATTTTGTAAATTGTTGCTGCCCCGTGATCAACCCTTTGCTTTCATTTGTTTAAATAAATTGTTTTATTTGAGTTCTCTGAGTCTGCCAAGGCCAAGCTCACAGATCACATTTCTAGGTATCATTATACTATTTTACTTAAAATTTCAGAACTGTTAGGCAATTTGTCAAGTTAGTGAAGCAAAACAGTAATATTAAGTCAGTTCCTCTGGATGGTTTGTTTTTATTGAAATGTTTTGTCTAGGGCTGGACGATATGGCCAAAACTTGTATCACGATATATTTCTTAATTTTGGTCAATATGATATAATTCCAATATCGATATAAACTATATAAAGGCCTCATAAAAACTGCCAAGAATGCTCAGAACTGATGCTTGTAAAACTAAAAATTATTTTGCCAAGTCTATGAAACTCCTCCAGTATAATATTTTAGAAATACAAACTGTACAACTAAATTAATGTTCACCTTTTATTTGTATTTAGCCTTCAACTAAATTTGAAATCACCATCAAATAAACATAAAACTCTCAACTTTGTCAATATTAATACTTAGTTTTAACTTAAAACAACAGCATAGGCTTATTATGCTATTCTCAATAATTAAAAAAAAGGTGCTTCAGCCAGGCGAAAAAACAAAAGTGCTCAGAATTGCTGCAATAAACAGAAAAAAAAAGAGAGTCGACACTGACCTCAGTTACTCCTCCACCCGTTCTCTAACTTCACCATAAAGTGCAGGTGTGGCTGTGCGTGAAAAATATTTCCAGCCGTGGTGCTTGTATC